ACAAAGTGCTGCATGAACATTTATTCAAAGGAGTCCTACTGTACTTAGATAACATTCTGATCTACACGGAAACCATGGTTAAGCAAGTGAAGCTGGTGCAAGCCATGTTTAAAAAGCTGCACGCTTCCAAACTGTATGCTAACCTATCAAAAAGTGAATTCCATCACAGCAAAATTGACTATCTAGGGCACTGCATCTCCCACAAGAGGATCAAAATGGACCCTGAAAAAGTCCAAGCAATTTTTAGGCCTGTCATTGCATAAGAAACAAATGTCAGAGTTTCCTGAGGTTTGCCAATTTTATCGCCAATTTATTCCCACATTCATACAAACAGCCGTATCTATGATAAAGATAGGGGAGAGAAATCCAACCAATCTCTTAAATGGTCAATGGAATGTTGAGCCACTTTTGTAAACCTCAAACACTTGTTTGCAGCTGAGCCTGTACTAAAGCACTCCAATCACAACTCCCCATTCGTCATTTAGGCAGACACCAGTGACATGGCAATGGGGGCTGTGCTGCTACAGAAAAATGATCAAGGAATCCTCCAGCCTTGTGTCTATACTCCAAAAAACTTACTGAAAGAGAGTGCAGGTGGTCAGTATGGGAGAAAGACAGTCTGGTGAGTGCTGCTCTATTGGAGGCATTTCTTAGAAGGCAGCAAATTCCCATTTGAGGTATGAACTGATCATAAGAATCTAGAGGCATTAAAGACCTCCAGGAGACTATCACTTAAACAGGTCTGGTGAGCCCAATACTTTAATCAATTAAAGTTTACCTTATGATACCTCCCCAGAGGGAAAAACCTCCTGGCAAATGCTGCCCCAGTACAATAGTGAAAAAAAAGAAAGAGTCAGAGCAGTGATTCCCTAAAAACAACTAGCAGGAATTCTCTTCTGGCAAAAAACTTGATCACTTCCTTAAAAGACGCTCTAAGCTAAAACCCGTGATTTAGGGACCATGAAGCAGAATACACAATGCTCGGTGGAATTACATGGATTGTGTGAAAACTATACAGTCCTCCAAAGCCAACAAATAACAGTGTTTCAAAAGTGCCATGATGCTAAAACAGTGAGTCATTTTGGATTCGTAAAAATTTTAAACCTAATAAAATGTCAATTCTGATGGCCATCTTGAAAATAAAAAATTGAACGTTATATAACGAGCTGCCCCACGTGTGCCTCAGCAAAATGGTGCCAGGAGACAAAACAAGGACTCATCCAACCAGTAGTTAAACCCCAAGCCTCATGGAAAGAAATATCCATGGACATTACAGTCAAACACCCTGACAGTCAAACAACCTTTTCTCTAAACAAATGCACTTTATGCCCAGTCACAAAATCCATTCAGGTGCATGTTTGTTAAATGTGTTTATTCAGCACATCTATTGCTTACATGGTGTTGCTGAATACATTATCTCACACCGGGGAATTTAATTTACCTCTTGGTTCTGGCAAGAGTTCCTTAAACTCTTGGAAACCTCCCAGGGACTTAGCTCCTGTCATTATCCAGAAACTAATGGAGCCTGTGAATGCACAAATTCTATATTAGACAAATACCTCAGGTGCTATATCAATTAGCAACAAGACAATTGGGTCATCTGCTTCCCTTTGCAGAAGTAGCCTATAACAATTCCTTTGACAGCAGCATTAGCTTTGAGCCATTTCAAAGTGGCTTCAGGCCACGATCTTGTAGCCATGCCCAAATTACCTCAACCTCCACCTAACATAACCTCCCTGGCAGAATGGGTGACCCAACTTCAAAACCCGTGGCCTGTGGTTCATAAACATTAGCTGACGCGCAGTAGGCACACACAAAAAGCCAAGTGGACAAAAAATGCTCTCCACCAAAATAATTTAAAATAGGAAATCTAGTTTACCTACCCACCAAGTATCTATCAACACAGCCATCTAAAAAGCTGGATCCTGAATATATGATAAATGTATTTACTATCCAACTAGAATTGCCAAAATCGCTAAGGTGAATTCACCTGGTGTTTCATTGCAACCTGCTTAAGCCTGCAAGCACTTCTCCATTGTGTTCTACTAAACCACCACCTCCATCTCCTATTCTTATTGAAAGTGAACAATATTTTTGAGGTTAAAGACATTCTGGACTCTTGCACACATAAGAGTGAAACTGAATGTGTAGGTGCCCACCATGCCAATGCTAAAAAAATTCCACTCCAAATACCTGGACAAACCAGGCTGATGCCTATATTCCTTTCTTCCCCCCCCCCCTCCCTTTGTCTCTTTTTCTTTTCCAGGACTAACATCCCTGTTCAGGAGAAAAGAATGTCAGGTCTGCCATCTTCAGCAACTCGGACCATGCTTCTGCCTGAATTCTAATATCAAAGGACAGGGGGAAAAGGGGATTTGGAATGTGGGTTACAGCCGGGGTGAAAAGAGAAGGAAGGAGGCAGGAGAGAGGGGGAAATTGACAGTGGTGAGTATAACCACTTGTGCTTGTGCCAGTTTACTCCAGACTTCAAGGACAACTGGCCTCAAAATGAGCAGCCCACCATCAAACAGTTCCCAAAACACCCAAATGACTTGCTATTGGACATTGGTGACTGACTCAAAGGTGACAGACTAGGAGGGAAGGAAAAATCTGGTGCTTTGTGCAGAATTCTTCAAATCCCACATTACGTGCCCTGCAATCATTCTATCATAGTAAAAATACCTATTACTTCAACCAAATGGAGTCTGGGGTCATTCTTTCTTAGAGTTAGATTTGGGCAGGTCTGACACCAATCCTCCTCTTCATTAGACTAGACCAGTGATGATTAACCTTTTGGTGCCGAGTGTCCAAAGTGTGTGTGTGCAAATGCACATGCGCGTGACTCAATCCCCAAAATGCAATGCAAATGCCCCCTGTGCATGCGCCCCACCTATGTCCACATGTTCCCTGTGCATTCCTCCCCCGAGCATGCACCCCACCCTCGTGGACTCCATTTTGGCTTCCAGGTTGGTGCAGGTTTTTGGGGCCCAGAACGGGATGAGGAAGGGCCTGACAATTTCCAGTTTCTGCCCGACAGCTCACTTCCTCCTGCCTCCCTGCCTCCCATGCCTTCCATAATCTTTGCAATTTCTCCCCCCAGCACATCCTAACTTCCTCCTGCATTCCTGCCACCTGTGCCTTCCTCGATCATTGCAGTTTCTCCCCCCAGTGCGCCCTAGTTTTCTCCTCCATTCCCGTCATGGAGAGGCACCTCCAGAGGGTGGAACCATCAGAGATCAGGAAAGGCATGGGCAGTAGTAATGCAGGAGAAAACAAAGGCGTCTGGGGAGGGAGAAAGGTAGGGCATGCTGGGGACAGGGGAACTGCAGAGATCAGGGAAGGCCCTGCCCCCATGTATGTGCGGCAGAGACCCAAAGACCAGCTGGTCAGCATGCATGGTGGAGCTGGGCTGTGGCAAAAGCTGGTGTGCCCACGGCGGGCTCTGCGTGCCACCTGAGACATGTGTGCCATAGATTCACCATCATAGGACTAGACATACTTATTTTCCTTAATTATTTATCATACAGTTAAGAAGTACCTCCAGAAAAGATTGATGCTTTTCTCTGTATTCTTTTTAGGGTATAATCATCTTTTTTTATTGTGACAACAAGAACTGGAAATAGTATACCAAGTGTGGCCTCATTAGTGCAACACAGAGCAGTATTATCACTTTTTGTGATCTTGGTACTATCCCTCTATTGGTATAGCCTAAGACTGCATTGGCTTTTTTGGCAGCTGTAGCACTGCCTATTCTATACCTGAGCATTTGTTTTTTCAGGATCTTACTCTTCTCAAAACTGAACTGCATCTTAGGGCCTATTGCTAAAATCTGTCAAGGTCCTTCTGAATCTTCAGTCTATCTTCTAAAGTATTAGCAATTCCTCTCAGATTATTGTCATCCCCTCATCTACATCATTTATGAAGATATTAAAGAACACTGGATCCAAGACAGAAACTTAAGGAATCCTACTGCTTCCCACCACATAAATGTAATTCCATTGAAGACCAGATGTGTAATTGTAGTTGGTGATCCTTGTGAAACTATCTGATGATGATACTATCTATCTCATATTGTTCCATTTTACCAAGAAATAAGTTATCAAATGCTTTACACTTATAATATACTTAGACCATGGGTGGGTTCCAGTCAGCTTTACTGCCATTTTACTCGTGCATGCATTGTATGCCCACTGCGCACACATGCGCAATTAAATTAAAATTGTTCTGCGCATGCGCAGAACTTAAAAACATGATGGTGCCAACAGCGCCACCCGGTTCGGGGGTGTGACAGGCCTGGGTCGCTGTCAGTCCGAGTGACCCATGCCGCCATGCCACTACTGTTTTAGCCAAACCTCTGACTTAGACCCCGTAATTCATAAGTATACCATATGTACAGCATTTAGTATACCATATTCACAGCATTTTCCAGATCCACTTCTTTAGTCCTTTATTAAAGAAGGCAAACAATGTATTCTTGGCAGCAGATTAAAAATGCAGTAGTAATTGGGAAACTGAATGAACATATATTTTTGGGTTTACAGTTAAGCCCAAAATGAAGAATATTTACATTTCTTCTGTTTTCCCCTTTCCCCTTCTTACAAGGATAAGTATTCTATGTTAACAATGGAAAGATGTTAATATACTAATTTTATATTCTTTTATTAACGGATGCCCACAATTTTCACAGAACAAACCAATGTATGCATAACTATCACCAAGTTGGACCAAAATTTTACAACTTTGTATACTGATCACTGTTTTTGAAATGAGGCTAAATTTTTTAGTATTGTTGTTAATTGATTTAATTTGACAAAAACTTTGAACTTGCTGCATGAACCTCTCTTATTTCATCCCATATTCTTTGATAATAAACTACTCAAGATTTATTTTACAACTTACACAAAAAGAATATTAAAACTATTAATTTACTTTTTGAAAGATAAATAAGAAACAAGTGCATTCTTATGAATTTCATTTCTTTTCTGAAAGATTTATATTACCTTTCGTAATCTTCTTGATACATCACATACATCGCTCGAACACATACTTTTGCCTTTTACTGCTTCTATAGAAGAAACTGTAAAAATGTTCAGCTATATGAGGGAAGCTATACAATATAAAAAGTCTTGTTTTCTAAAAGAACTAGTGAGTGAACTTTAACTCCTGGACTAGATATCCATATTGTTTTCTTAGCAATATTTGGTAAGTAGTATGTCAATGCAATTTTTCAAAGGTATTTTTCAACATCTCACATTACTCTGCAGTATTAGATTTCTGTAAGTCCCCCATCTAAATACTAATTTGATCCATGCCACTTAAAATTTTAGAGATCTGTCAAGGTCACAGGTGTTCTCAGCCACTATGGCATCTATTTAACAGTGAATTTTTAAATAATCGATTAATGAATTTAATCCTCTTACACATATCACCAAATTTTACTTTTATACTCTGTATATGTAAATGATGCAATGAACAATAATTTAGAGTATGTGATGTAGTTAGACCTCTGACATAGAATTCATAAATTAGAAGTTAACGTTTTTAAGTTGAATATCAAGACCTCTTTTTAAAGAAGAGAGTTTTGTTGTCCAAAATGTGTTGTAGCACATGGTATTGGTCTAAACAGTCCAATGATGTGACTTGATATGATACAAAAGAGTAAATTTTAGACTGAAAGAAGAGAATGTGTAGTTATATAAAGACCACAAAATATATTTACTGCTTATGTGAATAATCATATTTGTCATCATTGTCACAGTTTTATTACCCCACAAAATCGGATTTCCTGGATGGGTCAAGTATATTTTTTTCAAGGACTTATGTGTTGTTATTAGACTTAAATAGACTTCAAACTAGTCTTACCTTTAAAAGTGAAGAATAGCTCGTTTTGCATTCCAGCTCTCTGCATTTTTACATGATGACATTCAGACTTTTGTAATGAAATCTCACAGGCTAGCTCCGTAACAAGCTTGGCCAATATCTGAAGCAACTTCTTTTCAAAAGAATTATTATAGATACTATTGCAGGGAGCTGAATGATACCGAGCTGTAAACTCATAGTAAAATTTAGGATCAGAATAAGCTGCAGGGGAAAAAAGTTTAGATTCAAAACAAAAGCTAGATACCAAGATTTAAAACTACTTAATTTATTTTTTAAACAAGAATTGCATTAAAAGAGAAAAAATACAATCCTCTAGAATATTACACTCAGGAACTAAGCTGCTACTTTATGTATACTCAAGTAGTTGGAATTCTCCTGTGGGATCTTTTTCTTTTGAACAGCTGATAAAATTTTATCCAACTTCTGTCAAAATACTGTTTGTTCATTGTTCAAGAATCACAACAGTAAAGAATTTTTTATTACAAATAACTCATGCATTTTTGAAGTTGAGATTTAAACATTTAAAAATTTTTAAGAATGGTGTTTCCTTCCCACCAAAGTGGTTCCTATTTATCTACTCGTATTTTTATGCTTTCAAACTAGGTTGAAACTCGCTAAGTTGGCAAGGAGGACTCACCCCGTTTCATGGCACTCTGGTCTCAAACAAGGGGTGCTGGCTTTTCTAGCTAACAAGGCCAGCATTTTAACCACTCTGCAACTGCATTGTCTCAAATTGCCCAAAGCAAGACCCAAATTCAAGAAACAAGTTTACATAACACAGAAGGTCTCTACAGCAGAGTTCCTCAACCTTTCTGGCTTTGCAGATGGGCTGGGGAAGGAAGGATATGGTTCCGCAAGAGGCGTGCAAGCTTGCATGCACAGCTTCATTCGCACAAATGGCAGGCAAGTGCATCCACCACTTGTGCAAATGGAGCACTGGTGTGCTTGCTGCCACTCACACAAGGGGATACAAACACCTGCACACCTGCCACTTCTGTAGCTCAGTTCCTAAGAGCTCAAGGACAATAGTGCGCCGTTGGCCAGGCATGCTTGTTCTACAGCATATGTTTAATTTTTAAAAAGTGCTATAACAGCAAATATTCTGAGATCAGCTTAGTCCTAATGTATAAATAACTATTTTTTTCTGAGAAATTAAGATACTTTTGCATTACTAATTAACAATCATTGATATATTATTTTAAAATAATTACGGCTCAATAACATTTAACTTAAAACAAAGGAAATATTCAGTTCGATTAATTCAACCCATGCATACATACAAAAATCTTAATAAAAATAAATCATATTATATCATGACCAAGATACAATATTTTAAGACCTAGACCTGGTTGAAACCTATTTGTTACCTTTCAATACACCATTTGATTCATTTATTTAAATTACAATTTCCATCTTTATCCCAATACAGAATCTGTAGAAAATATTATAGGGGACCTTGGCAGAGATACGTAACCTCTGCTGTCAAGCCAACAAGTGATAAGTCTACCATGTCCAAATAATGTTTAGAAGTGGGTCAGAGATACCTCCTTAATTCACTACAGTATAAGAAAGGGGAGAAAGAATTTCTCCCTTTTATCAGGGAGGCAGCGTTATTTTTATCTCCAAAATATTTCTCAATATCTAAAATATGCTCAATTTCTAAAACCAATGGTGGTGGAGCCAGTGGCAGCAAAGACTGAAATCATGCATGTTTTAAGGTCATGGCTTCAAGGAAGGATATTGAAATATTTGCAAATGCAGAAGAAATTACCACACTTTGATCGAAACTTGAGAGAAAACTCTGGATCACAGGATGCCTTATTTGAAACTTGAGTTAAAATTCTGGAATTCAGTTTACTCCAAGTAGTTAAACATGGCCTCAAGTTGAACATTCCACTTATCCCCAATAGTTGAACTATTAGTTAGATATTATTTTTCTACTTTCTCAAGAGTTTTCTACTTAGAGTTCTTGCTCCCTTTTTAAAAGAAGAAAAAAACTGCAGAAATCTATATGCGTGTATTATGTACCAAGGGTAAATACCTTCTAAATTCTGATTTAGCTGGTTACAAATTAATTGCTGCAACATGTTTAACTGTGTAGTAAATTTCATTATATAATTTTGGCAAAAAAATGAAACACTGAAAAACAAAAAAGGACAGTTATTTGTCTTACCGTAAATAACATATTTAATTAAATAGCTTTTTTCTTCTTGCTCAGTAGTAGGCTTAAACACTAGAGAACATGTGTAAACTCCACTCATATAAGATTTGAAATGTTGGAATACAAGAGTTCCTGATGGGGATATTGTCAGAGATTCGTTTCCTGTATTGAAATGATAAAACAAATTTTGTTGTTTAAGGAGTTTCAAACCATAGTAACTACATGTTTTAATTATTTAGTCTTGATTCTAAAGCATACCACAATTACCTTGTGTGTGTGTGTGTGTGTACATTTGTGTCTTTTTAAAATTATAATACTCCCCAAAAATATTTTTAAAAAGATCAACAGAACCAGCCAGTACTAATTAGTTCAATATAACCAGACTGATAAGAGACAGGATTAAAAAGGGATCTTCATATGTTGCAGAAATGCATAGAAATAAAATTACTGTAATATTTTTGCTTATTGTCTCCATTATCACCATATACAGGAGAGTAAACATTTCTTCAGCAGTATATTACATTTTCAAACACAACTCTGTCAGTCGATCATCCCTCACAAATGTCCAAGAGAAAAATGTCCTAAGGTAAAACTATATTAGTTCTATAAAGCAAGCCCAAACTATTACAGGTAACTTAAGTTACAATTATTCATTCAGAGTTTATTCAAAAGTATGACAGAACTGAAAAAGAGGAATTTGTGAGCAGTCTACGAGTTGCAGCTGCTGTAGCATCACCATGGTCATGACCCACTAACCATTTGACAATTACAATGCAGCAAACTGCAGTCACATGATAACCATTAACAATCTTCCCTATCAGCTTCTCAGAAGAAAAGTCAATCAAGAAGTCAGTAGGTAACAATTTGCTCTCATAAATCATTCCCGCAGTTTTTTTCTCCAAGGACCCCCCCCACACTTATAAATCCCTGGGATTTATAGTCTATAGTACCCCATGTCCCAGAGCCCACCTGCTGCCATTGTTCCTCAGCACTTGCTCAGAGTGTCCTCCCCTTTCCCATGTTCTTTACCTCCCACTTCTTCTCACTTAATGATCCATGCAGACATGGGGTTACAACAGCGACAGGGAATGCCAGGATTTCAGTTATTAAATTTTGGCATTGTGCCTTTTGGCAGCGCTAAATGTGACTTGCTGTCACCAAACATGATATTGTGCTTTATGACCACACCAGTGGTGGGTTGCAGGCAGTATACCCCAGTACGGGCAAATTGGAGCCTGCCCGGAGCACCGGATACCATTCCAGTACAGTGCTCCAGAGGGCCCACCCGAGCTCCTTACCTGTCTTTAAAGGCTTTCGCGCACACGCATGGTGCATATAGCGCTTGCGTGACGCTCCGAGCAGCTAGAGCATTGCGGAGGCTCGCAGAAGCGCTAAGATGCATGTGCTCGCTGTGTGAGTGTGCATGCATGTGGATGCTGCCGGGCCCGTTCCAATCATACCGGTTGGAACAGGATCCGGAACCCACCACTGGACCATACTGTTTAGTAAGAAAAATCCAGGTTCCAATTGCCATTGAAAACAGCATCAATTCTCAGATTGATGCAAGCCTATTCAGAAGTCCAGCAAATCCATAACAAACAATAATTCATTTTCTCCACAGTTTATTCTACTAGATCCAATCTTTTACAGTCTGAACACCCATTCCTGAATTTGCAACCAAATTGCCAAAATATCTGGACAAAGCCAGAAAAGAAAAATGATCCAAGATTATAGAAAATCTGAACTTTATCCACTCTACTAGGAAACCCTGATCCCTCAACCCAAAAATTTGACTCACCATCTATACTATCAAGAAAATTTTCTATTGTGGAATCCATAACTAACCATCTCATCTCTACTTCAAGGAAACAAGACATAAAAAAAATCACTTAAAAAATTAGATCTGAATTTAGATTACTAAATTATGATCTTCCACCACATGCTTTATACTCACATGCATTTACACCAAAAGTGCAGAGGGCTGGATCCTTTACAAAAAAGTAAAGCTACAGGATTGATGGCATGTACCAAGAATTACTGAAAAACTGTGGACCAGCAATTAAACACTGGCTTGCCTCCTTTTTTATAGGTTAGGTTTAGGTTTATTTCATTTATATGCCGCCCTATTCCCGGAGGGAACTTTTAATTCCATACTATACTTGATTTTATTTGTCTTGTATGCCGCCCACTCCCGAAGGACTCCGGGCGGCTCACAATAGACAAGGGAA